GTGGTGGGGCTCCCACGGGGAGGGGGTCGGGGGTCTCACCTCGTGGTTGGCCTGGATCTGACGCAGGTACTGCATGCGGAGGTCGGGGGGTCCCGAGCCCTGCGCCGCCTGCTCCAGCACCAGCGCCTGTGGAGGGAGGGAGGCTGCTGGGAGAGCTGGCAGCAGCCAGCCCCAGGCACCCCAATGCCAGGAGCCTCAGGGACCCCCAGCTCTGGGAGCCCCAGCTCCAGCAGCCCCCAGATCCTGGGAGCCCCAGCCTTGGGAATTCTCAATCTCAGGGAGTCTGAGCCCCAAACCCGGGACCCCCAGGTCTGGGGAACCCCAGCGCCAGTGGTGCTGGTCTATCACACCATGGTGCCACAGAAACGCCCCCCACTGCACCCAAGGCTCCATTCCAGGGGGTTTGGGGTCACTTGGGGTCCCCCCTGCCCTGGGGGGTACCTGTATGCGCCGGATGACGGCGTGGTGTGTCCTGCACATGTGGGCCAGGGATGGGCTCTCCATCAGGATCTCCACAGCCTGGATGGGACCCGCGGGGCTCAGGTCATTCATGGCCACCTGGACAGTGAGAGCAGTGTCACTGCCGCCCTCGCTGGGCAGGGGGGCGTCAGGACCCCTCCCCACGGGCACTGGGTTCCCCAGAAACCCCCAAACCCCACCAGGAAGTTGCCCCCAGCCTGGTGCTACCAGGTGGGTCCTGGCAGGATTGAACCTGGCAGAATTAACACTGTCACTCATCACCCTGGGGACATCTGAGCTCTCAGGTGCAAATCCACCTGTGCCAGGTACCTTGGGGCCCCCCAGGTGGGGTCAGGCAGGAGAGCTGGGTAGAAATCCCTGGTTTCCCTGTGTCTTTAGAGGGGAATTTTGCATGGGGTGGGTTTGCAACCCAAATCCAAGTGCATTTTCTAGAACCAAAGAAATGGGAACATCTGGAGAGGGAGGGAAACGACCACAGCCTTTGGGAAGCTCAGGGCTGGGAGAATGGACTGGGAATGCTGCCTGTCCAGCCCAGCACTCGAACCCCAGCCCCACAGGAGGGGGTCAGAGTGGCGTGACCATTCATGCACTGCTCCCCCTGGCTCCAGGAAGGGACAGGGGGCTTCCCTGCAGGCTGACCCACTCCTCGGCTCAGGGCTAACCCATTCCTTGCCTCTCGGACGAGCAGCTGGACGTGGCCACCGTCGGGCGCCACGCCACGCGCCGATGCCACCTCCGTGCTGCTCAGTGCCTCGGCCCCGGGGTTCTCAGCCAGCAGCCAGCGCAGGGTGGCACAGCAAAGTGGGACATCTGGGGACCAAAGGACAGAGCAGAGATGTGACACCGCTGCCAGTCCCAAGGCAGCCCCTGAGGGGGCAGGGGTAGCATGGGCTGGACCCCACCCCACTGGGACACGCTGAGCTCAGTCATGCCACTGCCACGTGTGCCAGTGCTGTGGTGGGGACAGTGGGGTCACACAGCCCTCCTCGCCCAAGGGAGGGGCTGTGACAGTGCCACCCTGCCAGCACCCCTGCCCCAGGAGCCTCTGTCACTCCCAGGATGCTCCTGCTCAGGGACCCACCTGTTTCCGAGGTTTTGAGAGCATTTTTCAGCAGCTCCGAGGACACCCGGATGGATGCTGCCGAGGGGGGCAGGCTCTCCTCTCCCGCGGTTTTCCCCTCCTCGGGTTCAGTCTGTTCCCGGGACACTTTGAGGAAGGTCTCCACAGGGTCTGAGGGGGCAGGGGGGACGTCGGGCCCGGGGGGGCTGCTCCCGAAACGGAGGCACTGGAGCATGTCAATGGTGCATTGGCTGAGGGGCAGGCAGATCCCCTCTCTGTCCGGGGACAGCAGGGGCGAGTCGTCGGGCAGGAAGTCATCCAGGTCCTCAGAGGAGTCGGAGCCGCTGCCCAAAATATCCCTTAAACTGTAGTAGAGGGCACAGGAGATGGTCAGAGGCAGATCCAGCTTGGTGTCCGCAGCAGGGCCGAGGGGCAGCGTCAGCTCCCGCTTGTTCCCAGGGAGCAGCTGGTCAATGGGGAAGGTGAAGGTGGTGGCCGAATCCATGGATTCCTCCTCTAAGGCACAGGGGCTGGCCAGGAGCTGGACACAGAGGGTCCAGCCCTCCTCCAGGCTGTACTCGCTGCAGTTTTCCAGCAAGCAGGAGATGGTGACGGTGTCCTGGAGCAGGAGGCAGCTCCAGTTGGCAGTGATGGTGCAGGCGATGGGCTTGTGGCCCTCGTGGCTGGAGAGCAGCGCTGCGCTCACGTTCATCACCTGGTTCAGGCTGGCCAGGGCTCGGTTCCTCTGGTCCACGGCCTTCTTCAGGAAGGACACTCTGCAAGGACAGTGTGACAGGGATGAAGCAACGGGAGAGAGGCCAGGATGGCGCTGTGCTGCCAAGCTGAGCTGCTCCTGGCATGATCCCACCACAGGAAAGCCCCCAGCTTCTCTGCCATGGCAGCCACAGATCCGTGTTCCCATCAGAGCTGATCCTGCGGACAGCCAGACCTCAGGAATCCCCCTGTGCGTGGAGGGGGGGCTCTCCCACAGCCCCTCCCCACACACAGCCAGCCATGGAGGATGGAGGCACGAGCCTGCCCTGCCTGTTACTGCTGGCTTGGCACGCGTGGCAGGCGCCTGGCACCCTGCCCGTGCCACCTTCTGCTGCCATGGCTGCCGCTGCCAGCCCGCCCACGGCGCTGGGGGTGGCTGTGCCATGGGAGGGGGCTGCCCTCAAACGCTGGTTTTATATTATGGAGGTTGGGGGGGCTTCCCAGCCAGAAAAGGTAAATGCTGGAGCAGTTTTCCAAGAGAAAAACTTGAGGAGAGATGAGGGTGTTCAGCCTGGAGAAAAGAAGGCTCCAGGGAGACATTAGGGCCCCTTCCAGTGCCTGAAGAGGCTCCAAGGGAGCTGGAGAGGTACTTTGGACAAGGGCCTGGAGTGAAGGATAAAGAGGAACAGCATCCCACTGCCAGAGGGCAGGGTTAGATAGGATATTGGGAAGGGATTATTCCCTATGAGGGTGGGCAGGCCCTGGCACAGGCTGCCCAGTGAAGCTGTGGCTGCCCCTGGATCCCTGGAAGTGTCCAAGGCCAGGCTGGACTGGGCTTGGATCAATCTGAAGTGTCCTTGCCCATGGCAGGGGGTGGAATAGGATGAGCTTTAAGGTCTCTCTTACCCAAACCATTCCGTGATTCCGTAATTAATTACTGGCAATGACTTGCTCAACCCCCAGCTTGGTGCCACCTTTACCTCTCTGAGGTGTCCCCTATCCCCGACAGCAGCTCCTTGATCCTCCGGCCGATCTCAGCAGGGGTCAGCTCCACGTCCGGCTCCTCGGGGCTGCACAGGCCACAGGACACGAGGCGGCCCTTGGCCGACAGGGCCAACAGCTCCGACTCCCCTGCGGGCACAGACGGGCGGCTCAGGGCCAGGAGGGGAGCGGGGCCTTCCTGGATGGCTGAGGTGGGGGGGACAGGGAGCAGGATGGCACTGCCTCCCCAGGGCAGTGGGATATGATGGACACAGACATGGGTCACTGCACACACCTGCTCACACACAGACCCCTAAGAGGGGACACCACCCTGTGCCTGCCACTCCCCAGCCAAGGCCAGCAGCACCCAGCTGTCACACTGGGGCGCTGCTGGTGGCACACGCAGCTCCATGGGCAGCCAGTCCAGAGGCACATTGGATACCACATTGGATACCACGTTTGGAGGGAGCCTCATCCGAGCTGGCTTGGGGTTCTCCCATGGCTGCGAGGGCTGGCCAGTTCCTGCCATGCCAAGCTGAGGGACTGGGAAGGGGCAGGGAAGAGCAGGAACCACAACGGACAGGAACGACTCACAAAACCGAGGGGAGCCAACGAGAATGAAAGATGGAGCCCCACCCATCCCACACAGAGCTGCAGAGGGAGGAGAGGCGGCATCCCACCCCTCTGCCCCCAGTACCTTCCGAGGCCCGAGAGGACAAGGAAAGAGCCACCACGCTACAGATACTCAGGCTGGCCGGGGACAGCACGGGGGGCAGCACGCCGGCCCCACTCTCCGTGTCCTCGGGGTCCGAGGAGTCGCCTGCCCAGTCCAGGTCGACGGCGGAGATGTCCGAGTGGGTGCTGTAGTACATGCGGGAGCCGCTGCCGCAGGCCGCGCACAGGATGGGGCCGCGCAGGTAATATTCCCTGAGCTCCGGCACCGTGGCCTCCTCCTGCTGATCCGCCTTCACGGCCACCATCTTCCCGTAGTGGCCCACGGCCACCACGCAGTCACAGCCGGGCTCGCCCGCGGGCGGCTCGTCCTCGGCGTCGTCGG